ACCACACGCAATTACCGCCATAGCGCGATTATCGCGCTTCCCGGGACATGCATCCTGGAAACGTATTATCCATGCACACACAAATTAGAAAATCCCATAGATTACAAAGAGAGGACCATGTTTACCCGTCCCATTTGTTGCCCAATCCAAACAGGACGGACACGTCATAAGAAGCTTCCCCTCAGATCCATGGGAAGTAGCGCGGGGAACCATGGGTCAGGGCGGGGAAATGCTTCACAATACGTATTGCGTGATCATATGTATTTCGCCTGCGCGGCCATTGCGCAATGATTCCGAAAGCTTGCTTGTACTTCCCCAAAAAACCGAATGTCAAAAGATCTCAATTCGTTACAGATTAGCTCCGGGTTCTGTCAAGTTTCGGTGTAACGTCGTGTGTAAACACGGAGAAACAATACGGATTAGCTCCGGGTTCTGTCAAGTTTCGGTGTAACGTCGTGTGTAAACACGGGGAAATAATATGTATTTGCTACGGATACCCTTTGGATTAGGTCTGCTTTAGACCCCGTGTGATAAGGTCCTTAGACAGAAAAAGACAGGAGTAAAGAGAGATGTATAATGTATAAAGGGCACAAGAGTAGGAAGAGTAGGAAAAGACAGGACAAGGATAAGACAAAGGTAAAATTAGAGATAGATCAGTATTACTAGGATGAATGTTGTCTTACGTTTTGTTTTGTTTTGCAGGTTTAGGAATTAGATCGAGGAATGATTTATGTATGATATGTTTTGTATGTATTGAATGTATGACTTTGTTAAGATGAAAGGATTTATTACGTAATGTGTATTTTAAATATGTTTAAGCTTTAATCAATATTATATATATATAAAAAGGATTGTCCAAGCCATAGTATTCTCAATCACTATGTATGGATGTATGGATGTGCAGATGAAAAGAAAATCAATTCATTTGAGATGTGGTGTTGGAGAAGAGTGCTGAGGATACTGTGGATGGCCAAAAAGACAAACAAATGGATCCTTGAACAGATCAAGCCTGAAATCCCCCTGGAAGCCAAGATGATCAAATTGAGGGTGTCATACTTTGGACACATCATGAGAAGGCACAACTCATTGGAAAAGACAATAATGCTGGGAAAGATTGAGGGTAGAACTTGATGGCTAGACTCGATTAGGGAGGACACAGGCATGAGTCTGTAGGACTTGAGCAGAGCAATGGAGGACAGGGAGACCTGGAGATGTCTCATCCACAGGGTCGCCATGAGTCAAAGTTGACTCAAGGGCAACTAACAACTAACAACAAATGTGAACTACCAGAACTTGGAGTATTTCAAGATGCCAATTGAGGGCAAAACCAACTCAAGAGTATTCCTTGCCTAAGAAAACTCCAAAATTAATGGGGGCAACATATCTCAAATTAACTTGCTTGGCAGTTAATAGTAAGCTTCCTGGAGGTTGAGTAGGTTGAAAGGGAAGAGTTGGCTTTCCTCCACTGCAGTGCACCCTGGAGTGACATAGAAGTATATGACAACGTTTTGTTGCAGACCTGACTTTCCGCTCTGGATACTAGAAGCTAAACAATGGAGCCAAACAGGATAGACTAGAAGATGAACCTTCCATCAGATCTCTACTTTGTTCTTAATTTGATCCCCTCCAAAGAAGGTGATGGCGGTCTTCTGTTTCCACTCATAAGCATTGTTTGTCAGTAATGTGTCTTCAAGTTGTTTCCGACTTATGGAGACCCTAAGGCTATGACCTATCCTGGGGCTTTCTTGGCAAGTTTTGTTCCGAGGGAGGTTGGCCATGGCCTTCCTCTTGAGGCTGAGAGAGTGTGACTTGTCCAAGGTCACCCAGAGTGGTTCCGCGGCTGAGTCGGGATTCAAACCCTAGTTTCCAGAGTCCAATGCTCCAACCACTACCCCACACTGGTTCTTGAAAGTTTGTTGTGTGCCTTCAAGGCATTTCCGACTTATGATGACCCTAAGACTATGAACCTATCCTGGGCTTTTCTTGGCAAGTTTCTTTCGAGGGGGTTGGCCCTGGCCTTCCTCTTGAGGCTGAGAGAGTGTAACTTGCCCAAGGGCACTCAGTGTAGAGCGGCTAGATATCCTAACTGCCAAGGAGGACATGGTACCCCAAGATGTATAACATTCAAACCAAGACAAACAGGGGACATGTCCAAAGAAAAGCTAAAAGCACTCATGGAAAGATAAATTTAAACTCTCATAGAAATAGAAATCAATGCTCATAGAAATATAAATTCATGCTTCTTAGGGCCTTTGCAGACTGCCAGAAATAATGCAGCTTGAGACCACTTTAAGTGCCCTGGTTCAGTGCTAGGGAATCATGGGAACTGTAGTTTATTGTGGCACTAGAGCTCTCTGCCAGAAAAGGCTCAATGTCTCAGAAAAAAATACAATTCCCATGATTCCCTAGCACTGAGCCAGGGCAGTTAAAGTGGACTCAAGCTGCATTATTTCTGGCAGTCTGTAAAAGCCCTTGGTTATGATCCAAATGGAGGACACTTTGGAATTCCTCCTGGACAGTCAATCAAATGAACAATCAATCAAATTGGGACAAATAGAACTGTAACAGTTGAAATTCAGAAAACAGTGGTAGACCAAGTTTGGGAGGAAATATTTCAGCTGGGGAAACATATTTTTCCTCCATTTTACAAAGACACTACTTGTAGAAAACATCTGCACAAGGGCAACAGATTTAACCCAGTTGATGTACAAGTTTATTGCAGGCACGTAACTTTTTACTTGAGGTAACAACTATACCCATGTATGTTCATATTTATTTAATTTATATCC